CACCCAACTATTGAAATTTGTCCCCACTGCAAGCAAATGTGAAGATACATTATAGCTGTGGGATGCGGGACTCTGCGGGGCACAAAAACCGGCTTGTGGAGGAGCAAACATTTGGAGCCGTCTGTAAGTCTGACGGAGAACATTGAGGATCAGGAATCATGAGTCTGAGACTACTCTGGGTTACATAGCAAGACCCTGTTTCAAAAGCGGGGAGGGGTGGTTGGAGAGATGGCTCAGTGGTCAGGAGCAGCTGCTGCCCAATCGTGAGGCTCGCATCTGGATCGAAGCACCTGTGTGCCAGCAGATGCCTGTAACTTCAGGTTGAAAGGGTAGAGACAGGAGCTCAGGGCTTGCTAGCCTTCTGGGTCTGCCTGAAAAAACACTAGCCTGGGGGTCAGGGAGAGACCCTGCTTCGAAGAAGTAAATGGAGAGAGAGAGAGAGAGAGAGAGAGAGAGAGAATACCCAATGCCAACTTCTAGCCCTTGCACACAGGCACAGGTGCACAGGCATGCTCACGTGCATGCACACTTATAAACACACACAATCACACACATACAAATAAATATTTTTGAAAGATTTATTAATAATTTTTGCTGGCACTCTAAGCTTTATCAGTAGACCGACCTGGAGAGAATTTCAGGAGTAAGGCATTTCCCTTTTTGGTTCTGGTAGTTCCATAAGCAGACTTTCTGCAGTATTTCAAGTGGATTCCTGAGGCCTGGGCTCTCAGTGTTATTTTTTTTAATCGTGTGTGTGTGTGTGTGTGTGTGTGTGTGTGTGTGTTGTGTTTGTGTTAGATGTGTGTGAGTACACACACAGGTAGGGTAGGATAGCAGGCATCTTTTTCTTGCCCTGCCATCTTATTGCCTTGAGGCAGGGTCTCTTACTGAAGGGGAAACTTACCATTTCCAATAGGCTGGCTGGCCTGCAAACTCTTGGAATCTGCCTGTCCCCACCTCTCAATTCTGGGGTTACAGGAATACACAGTTATGCCTGACTTTCTACATGGGTGCTGGGGATTCAAACTCAGGGTCTTGCAGCCTCGAAGGCTCAGCCACTGAATGATTCCCACCCCACCCTGAAGTGTTGCTGTTTCTGACAATTAAAAGCAGATTTGCTTTCAGTTACTAAATATACTCAGCCTCACTGGCAGTCTAAGAATGCAAATGAAATACTGAGCTACATTCTTTTGCTAGTGAAAATCTTACATATTATACAATGTGGAAAATGGGTCTGAAGTACCTGTGCTCTCTCATATGACAGCTACTGGCACATGCTGCTGGTTAGATGTTCTTAATTTTAGTATGTAAAGTCCAACTGCGCAGTGTAGCTCTTAGTTCAAAAAGAACATGATGTTTAAGGGTGAGCCAATAACATTAATCGATAGGAACACTTTCATTTTCTTTACTCATTTCCACCAGTTTATGTTCTAGCAATCTAACACAATGGAAATGGTTTCAAGGGGAAAGAAGATGTGTGTGCATTCATATATAAACATGGACATACGGATTGTTGTAAGCACCTACGCATTTGTTCACATTTGCTAGCATATTACAGAAAGACTTTAAAAGAAGATGAGTGTAACGTTTTGGAAGAGCACACCTGTGGTAGTGCACAGGAGGGAAGTGGTCAAGCCAGTGACTAGTGCGTACCATCGAATGCTAGCTCCACACCTGCTGCAGGCATCGAAGTCCATCTAGGAAATTATTGGCGATGTGTGTTACTCATTGGGAAAAGCCGATGTTGCAATAATATGAACAACGTGCACTGCCTTCTAGATTTGAGTCACTTTATAAAAGGGGCTTCAGAGGGGGTGAAGGAGGCAGTGGCACACCCGAGATGAAGGAAGGAAGAGTTACTCGGAGCAGAAGCATACGGCACAGAAACAGCACAAGGCAGTGGGGTTGGGGATGGCATCTGAACTGAACTGGTACATTTTTGTCATTATTTCCTCATTACTGTATTTATAGACCATTTCTATTGTAGTAGATATTACAAATTTAAAAATCAATGGTAGTCACTTTATTGAGATATGATCCACATATAAACTGCTGCAGTTTAATATATGTCTATGTTTATATATGTCTATTTAATATATGTCTATATATGGACCCATGTCTATAACACATGCATAGACCTCTGTTTGAGATACATGTGTGTCTGTAAAGCCATCACACCACTGAGACCAGAGCATAGATAACATTGTCTCCCCAGAGTTCTTTCTGTCCCCCTTATGATCACTGTTGTGGGGGAAATGCCCGAGATAATCAACTCATAAAGATAAGTGGTTATTTTGACTTACAGCTTTGGCAGTTTTGGATTCTGAACTCTTGGCCTGAATCTTTTAGGCCAGTGCTAAGACAGAACATCACAGAAAGGGGTGTGTGCCACAGGGAAGCTGTCACCTCATGGCCAGGAAGCAAAAAGAGGAAGAAGCCAGGGTCTCAATATCCCCTTGACCGGCACACTCTGAGTGGTTCAACTTCCTCCAGCTAGGCCCCATTTCTCAAGCGTTCCAATGTCTTGTCCGCTGTGGTAACATGTTCGTAATCCCCAGGGGCCTCGTAGATCCCAGGCCTCACTACAGTTTGAGCACAGTTAATAGCAAGACCCTGTCTCTGAAAGAGAAAGACAGACGGAATGTCTTAAAATGTGTACTTTCTTTATTTTTCAAGACGGAGGGCAGCGGACACCTAACAGCCCCACGTGGGGAGGGAGTGTGGGGATCAGTGGTTGGGAGATAATGTAGGCTTATGTCCGCTGCCTCTGTATCTGTTGGGGTTATTTACATTCCTTACAATGTTCAGCAGGACTTTCAAAATAGAGAAGACACAGGTTCCTTCCGCTTTCTGGGGTTCTCTTCCCTACCGCCTCACTCCTCGATCTCAGTGGCTGAGCTTACAGAGTCCTGGCCTGGGCCTCCCTCAGTCTCCTCACCTCACAGAAGTGTGTGCCACCTGGACCTCCCTCAGCAGCCCCCAGCTTCCTGTTGGGAGGCCCTGAGGGGGAGTTTCTGGGGCACCCCCCACCCTTGAAGGCTGGCTGGCCCTCGACATGGCTTCCTAACAGCAAATGGGAACGCTCAGGACCCCCTCTCCTCTACAACGCCCCCTTCTGTCCTGGAGTCCCCACCGGGTTCCTTCCCACCTCTGCCGCGTCCGGCTTCTTGATGTGGGCTAGTTTTGCTAGCTCACCCATCTAGTCACCAGTTTGTGAACCTGCATCCGGGTATCTGCTTAAGCCCTGAGCCATTTCTTGAACCAGTGTGCACTGTTAGTTACCATGACTTTCCTTGGGCTTACTTCATTATTCCTGAAGCTCTCCTCAGCTCTCCCTTAGCCTGCCCTTCCTCATAACCAAACCCACTCCTCCGACCACCACACCCCTCTTCTGTTGGCCTGACCACACATCCTAGGTTTCCTGAGGTCTCCGAGTTGGTCTCTCTGTCTACTTTTCCCACACAGTTCTATGGAGTGCTATGTTGACGACTCGGGGTCAGGCCTCGCCCAGGTTATGTTACCCAAAGATGCCCATGTACTTGACCACATTTAGAAATCTCATCTTCCACTGACTAGCACAGGAAAAAAAAAAAAAAAGCCCTCACTACTGGTCAAAGTGCAAAGGCTAAGAGTATGTGGAGTGCTCAGCCACGAAGAGGCATCTGTCATATCTGTCATGCCCCTACACCGCAACCCTACACCCTACAAGGCTCAAGGGCCATCCCAGGAAGAGAGGGTGGGGACTGGAAGGACCAGAGATGGAGACCCAAAGTGACCCAGCATTCTGTGGTCGTGACCCAGCCACAGACTTCAGAGCCCCAGCAGCTGTGGTTGCCCCGCCCAAGACCAAGCTGGTTAACATTCCAGCATGGAGGGAGGAGGGGCTGGCAAGCCTCCACACCTACCTACGTGTACAAAATCCTTTTGAACTCTCTCGCTGCTTTTATTCAGGGAATGTGCCCTGGTGCGGGCATCTCCTTGTAAGTGCTCGCTCAGCCCAGGGCCATGACTGCTGCCCACAGACAACATGTCTGGACTGTCAAGAGCTTCCTAACTGTGCTCCCCCACTTCACACTGGATCTGCATAGTTTTTCCCTTGTCAGAAGCCGCCTGACTGAATTAAGATTAAAACTCAAAATGCTTGTCTCCAGTCCTCACATCATAACTCTGACGGTGTCCGTGGATGTTAAGCCCCGCTGTCCTCTGAGCTGGGGACATTTTTTTTTTTTCTAAACTGTCCTTTCATTACCTCTCACCTGTGATTCATTACCCACCATTTACCTTTCTCAGAATATTCCTGAACTTCCTCCCCGATCCCAGCAAGTGCTTATTGTATCCGGTGACACCATCATATGGATTCTTGACATGCAGGAAAAGAGGAGAAATGTGCTCAGAAACTTTCTGGTTTGGGTGCAGAGCCTCTCTGAAAAGCCAGCAGCTGGTGCAGAAGGTGGGGGATGACGAATCTGGGCTGCTCTTCTGGGACTGTAGTGTGCTGCCTTCAGCTTCTCGGAGAGCCCCAGCAGAAAATGGGGAGCACTCACCAGTGAGGCGAGGGGGTGCGCGATAAAACATCTCTGATCTCCTGTGGACAGGCTACATAGTAAGTTGTCTTCTGCTTTTACTTCCCTAGTCTCCATTTCTGACTCTACACCCACCCCTCTCCATCCCACGTGCCCGGGACACACTCTTTTCTCCATAGTGCGCGTGCACCTTCCCCTCCATTCTTAAGCTCGAGCTGAATTCACCGCTGGGGGCGGGGTGGGAGGACTGGAAACCGATCTGGAGCGTTGGGTAGGGGTGCGCCTGGGGAAATCGGACCAACCAGGCCCTGAGAGGACTGGCTTCCCATGGGTAGCCTGCCAGGGGAGCTATGCGCTCCGGGGCTTCTGCGCTTGTAGTGGAGTCTGTCTCAGGGGAGTCTGAGGCGCTCGCCAGGGCTGGCGTTACTCCCCCAACTCCAGAGTCCGGGAAAACCAAGCAGGGAAACAGAACAGATCATGAGGTCAGTGTGGGCCTCCCTCCCCCAACACCGCTGGCTGCTTCTGGCGATGCTCTTTCTTGAGGTTGTGGGCGATGACATACTATTTGACCCCAACTGGGGGTTTGACTCGTATGAAATCACCGTTCCCAAAGAGCTAAGCTTTAGGAAAGGGGAGCAGGGTGTGGACAGTTCTTTGTCGTACCTCTTACAGATACAAGGCAAGAAGCACGTCATTCACCTGTGGCCCAAGAAGTTACTGTTGCCCAGACATTTGCCCGTTTTCTCCTTCACTCAAGAGGGCCGTTTGGTAGAGGATTACCCACACGTACCAAACGAGTGCAATTACATGGGCTCCGTGGAAGGCTCTCAGGAATCTGGGACTACTCTGAGTACATGCATGGGGGGTCTGCGAGGCATCTTGAACATAGACTCCAGTTATTACCAAATCGAGCCCCTCGTGGCCTCTTCCAGTTTTGAACACGTTGTGTATCTCCTAAATAAGGACGAATTTAGCAGGCAGAGCTGTGGTGTGGTTGATGAAGAAACCAAGGAGGAAACCGCCCAGCAAGAGGAAATGGCTAGAATAGATACCTTTCATCAATCCTACCATCACCGAAAGTTCTTGGAACTGGTCATGGTCTTTAATTGGGAGAGATTTGTGTTTTTACAAAAGAATTTTTCTAGAGTCGTTGATGATGCTATTCTTCTAGCTTCAATTGTGGATACCTACTTTCAGGATGTCGGGTTGAGGATCCAGCTAAAAGGACTTGAAGTTTGGTCGAATAATGACAAAATTTTTACTCACTTTCCCACTTTGGCCGAAGTGTTAGGTCAGTTCGTACTGTACAAAAGAGTGGCGTTGCATTTCCGGCTTCCCTCGGACTGGGCACATCTGTATCTCGGGATACGTTATTCAGATGCTGTTGCCTGGTCCTGGGGAAGAGCATGTGAAGAGTACCATGCTGGATCGGCAAGCAGCTTACTTGATGTAAGTATCCTGGGACCTGCTACTTGGACCGCTCATGAAGTGGGCCACTGTGTGGGGATGAGACATGATGAGGAGTACTGTCAATGCAGAGGCAGGAAGAGCTGTGTCATGGGCACAGGACGCACAGGGTTTAGTAACTGTAGTTACCAGCAGTATTTTAAACATGTAGGCTATAAAATGTCGCATTGTCTATCTGACATCCCAGGACGAGGCTATGTGGTTAAGAGGTGTGGAAACAAAATTGTTGAAGACCAAGAGGAATGTGACTGCGGTTCCACAGAAGACTGCAAAGAAGACCTGTGCTGTGGGCCAGACTGTAAATGGAAAGAAGGCGTCAACTGCTCCACTGGGCTGTGTTGTCATAAGTGTGGCTTTCTTCCAGCAGGCCATGTGTGCAGGCGGGAGGAGAATGAATGTGACCTTGCCGAGTACTGTGACGGGTTCTCGGGCGTCTGTCCAGATGACGTTTACAAGCAGGATGGAACTCCCTGCAAACACGAAGGACTTTGTTTCAATAAGGGATGCAGGTCCAGGTACATGCAGTGCCAGGGCATCTTTGGAACGACTGCCAAGGAGGCTCCTCACCAATGTTATGATGCAGTTAATATGATAGGCGATCAGTATGGTAACTGTGGCATCTTAAATGCTACTCGATATCAAAGGTGTAATAGGGACAACGCGATCTGTGGCAGGCTACAGTGTATGAACGTCAAAGCCATCTCCAATTTGCCAGAGCACACTACTATACTGTCCACCTATCTGAAGACAGATAATCTCCTATGCTGGGGCACAGGCTATCATGGAGCCATGATACCCCATGGGATACCTGATGTAGGCGATGTTAGTGATGGCACCTCCTGTGGCCATGACCAGGTGTGTATTAACAGAACTTGCGTTGATGTCGTCAACCTGAAGTTTGACTGCTTGCCCTACAAGTGCAATAGCCGAGGTGTCTGCAACAACAGAAGGAACTGCCACTGCATGTATGGCTGGGAACCCCCGTTCTGCGAAGAGGTAGGATTTGGTGGGAGCGTTGACAGTGGACCTCCTGGACCTATGGCAGAGGAAGTGCTCCCATCATTTCGAGTTAAGTACATTATGCTGATACGTGTTTTTTTATTCGTCATCTCGGTGATCTTTGTGGTTTTTAAGCAGCTGGTTAAAAATTTGTTTCATAAAAACCAGCAAAAAGAACCAGAGCAGACTCAATCTGAAACAGATGATGACATGTCAGAAATGTAATCAGGCAGCCCTGTCATCTAACACATTTGGCTATTTAACAAGCTTATCATTTATTCACATGACTCTTCATTCTTTTTCCCGGAACGATTTCACACAAATTTACCATGCCTTTAAAATCAGCAAAAATAAATGATATTCTTGTTTGGAAACAAATCAGTGCATTTTTTCCCCCTAGGATTCATTTTCAATTCAGTTTGGGATCAAGTGTTGGATTACCTGAAAAAGACTATTAATGGCCTATCTGAATGCCGTCAGGGAACGACTCGTGTTCAGAGTATAGTCCTGTCTTAACATCCTGGTGAAGGAGGCTGACTTCTCCCCTGTGTGTTTCAGCTTCTTCAGGGCTAGCATCTACACCTGTGCACATGCACCTGCTGCATGCACCTGTGCACCTGCTGCATGCACCTGTGCACCTGCTGCAGGATACTTGGTGATAACACATTTTATAAATGAAAAAAAAAAACAACCCATGTGTTACAAGGGTTGATCCCTTCAGCGAGACTTTCTGTCATATCTCTTCTGGTGGATACAGCTCTGTCTGTTGCTGTGTGGTTTCTGACTTGGTGTTTGAGGTGATCTCCAATGGGACAGCTATCCTAAATTGTCATGACACCTGCATTTCTGTACAGCCTATAGAAGATGACAGCCCTTAGCAGTGTTGGGAGCATGGCTATTAACAAAATTTAATGTTTGCTGCGTTTTTTGGTAGTTTTTGTTTGTTGGTTAACTTGAGCCTCAATTGAGAAACTGCCTCCATCAGATTGGCCTGCAGGCAAGTCTGTGGAGCATTTTCTTGATTCATAGTTGTTGTGAGAGGACCCAGCCCACTGTGGGTGGTGCCACACCTGGGCAGGTGGTCCTGGGTGGCACGAAAAAGCAGACTGAGCAAGTCATGAGGAGGAAGCCAGTAAGCAGCACCCTCCACGGCCTCTGTTTCAGCTCCTGCCTCCAGGTTCCTGCCTTGTTTGAGTTCCTGCCCTGACTTTCCTTCATGATGGACTGTAAAGTGTAAGCCGAAATAAACCCTTTCCTTCCCAAGTTGGTTTTGGTCATGGTGTTTATCACAGCGGTAGAAAGCACACCAGGGCGATGTGTCTGCATTCACTGGGAGGTCTTTTTGAGTGGCTCCAGGTTTATTGCACCCCTAAGTACAACTGAAGAACATGAAGAATGCCTTTTATCCCCAACATCCTTCAATGCTCTGTCTCTAAATCTCTCCCTGTGCACAGTGCTGGCATGGTGGGGGGAGGAAAGCTGAATGATTTCCCACAAGGCATCATTGCCACTTCTACGTCCAGGGAGAAGCTCATCCCTCTCCATACTTGGGCCATCCCAAGTTGTTGCATCCTGTTCAAGACCGGATCTTCCTGATGTTCCCACTGAGACAGCATGACAGCCTCCTGTACCATATCCCAGTTTGCTGTGCCTTAGCCACGAAGTTCTAATTAAAGCCAAAAAAACAGGGCAGACACAGCTGATCATCTGGCCTGTCTAGACTACTTTGGGTTTGTTTTCACTCAGAGGAAAAAATGTAAATAACTTTAGTTTTGTGATGATCATAATTCTAAACATTTATTAAGCCTGGCCGGCCATGCAATGTCCTGAAATATAAGGACACTGAGTCACAGCTGAGTACTGATAATGATGGACAACATTACGAAGAGCTCACTATGTGCCAAGCCATGGTCTAAAGAATTTCATGTGTGTTGTTGTATATACTGTTAAAAATGATTCTGCTATAGGTGTTTTTAGATTTTTAAATTTTATTTTATGTATATGAGTGTTTACTTTAAGGTATGTATGTATGTATGTATGTATGTATACTACATGCTTTGGTACCCAGAAGAGGACATTGGGTACCCTGTTGCTGGGGTTATGCATAGTTATGAATCAAACCACCATATGGGTGCTGAGAACTGAACTCAGGTCCTCTGCAAAAGCAATGGTTCTTAACTGCTGAGTCACTTCTCTAGTCCTGGTGCTTATTTTTCGATGGAAACCAAGTCACAGAAATGTTAAAACACCTACATAGGTTTCTACACCAATAAAAACAACATTACTTGAGGGAAAAACTTCATATATTAATAAAGATCAAGTTTAAAGATAAGACAATGACTTGTTGAGAAATCTTAAAGTTATTAGTATATTTAGGAAACAGGTTTTTAACATATCAGTGAATATATATATGTATATATATATATATACACACACACACATATATAATATTTACCATCTTAACCATTTTGGTGGTAATTGGTACATTTCACTTTGGGCAGATGTTCTAGAGAACTCTTCTTTTTTTGAGACAGCGTCTCACTATGTTGCTCCACCCCTCATTGGCCAGGGACTCTTTATATTCTTTATGTAGACCCGGCTGGCCTCAAACTCACAGCAATCCACCTGCCTTGGTCTCCTGGCTGTTGGGATTAAAGGTGTGCCCAGCCACGCCCAGCAAGACTCTCTTCACCTTCCAAAACTACTATTGTAGATGACCATTTAATCATGCCGTTCTCTCTTCCCCATCTCCTCATAGTGCCCTTTCTGTCTGTGTGAATAAGTAAGCTAAATCCCTCCCTGAAGCACATTCACGTGGTACTCTTCTTTTTGTGACTGGCTTCTCTTAGCACAGTGTTTTCAGAGTTAATCTGTTTGTAGTATGTTGTTAAGAGAGAGACCTTAAATGTCCAACATCTAATTACAAAGACTGGATGATGAAGGGAAGGAGAGCTGATCAGTTAACAGCTCCAGGCCACAGCAGCAGATCATTCCACATTTTCCCACCTGTGCTAAAACTATGACTCAGACTCTCCCATATGGCTGACTGACAGGTGCCCCTGCATCCTGTTTTAATCTTAACCAAGCCAAATCAACAAAACTACCCTGTTCCCAAACTTCTATGCTTTTTTTTTTTTTTTGTCAACCTGCTCTTCCTGTCTATAGTCAGCATAGCTCCCATGTAAACAGCTTATGCGTTCCTTCTCCCAACATTTGCTATTAAAATGATCTTGCCTTATGGACATGAAAGGCATTTTGTCCCCAGGTGCTACGTAGCTCAGTTGTTGGGCATTACAGAAGTGCTCCCCGGGCCCTGGTTCATTTCTGGCTACCATCAGTAGTGGTTCAACAAAGTCTTTTCCTTCAGAGCTAGCTCAGTCTCAACAGTTTTGATTCAACTCTGTGTCAGACATTTTTTCCTTCATAAGGTTGGATAATATTTCAATGTGACTATATACTGTATTTTCTTTTTAAAGATTTAGCTGTCAGTTATGTTTTACAGGCTTCTTTTAAAAATTTAAAGTCTTATTTCTTTTTTAAATTTTTATACCCATACAAGTACTGTACTTACATCATATCCACACCTCCTTCTTGCCCCTCCAACTCGCCTGCATTTCTCAGTTTTCTCTCTAACCCATACCCTCTCAGTTAAGCATGCCGAGTTCATTTAGTGTCGCTCATATGTCCTTGTGTTGGGGCTGACCACTTAGGAATGGATAACCTATCAGGGGGCTCATCCCCAGAGAAGGCTGATTCTCCTTCTCTCTGCACTCATTGCTTGCTGTGGCTCTTCATCTAGTGGATGGGGCCCTGTGTGTGACACTGGTCCCTTCACTTGGGCATGTCAGCTGGTGGTGTCATCACGTACAGCTTGTTTCCGTGATCGTATCGTTAGGATCTGTATTCCCTTCCACCATCAACTCACGTTGTTTCTGCCTTTATTCTAGTCTGAGTAACACTAGTAAAAGAAACTTGGCAGAGGAATGTTTTTCTATGTGTCCAATTCTTTGGGGCATATGTTTGAAAGTGAAATTGTTAGATATTTTGGTAATTATATTTTTTTAAGCTAGCTTGCTGTTCTCACAACATGTGGGTAGCTTTTCACATCCTGGCTCACGTTGCCCAAGGGTTCCAGTTTCTTTCTTTTTTAAATCCCCTCTCCATATTACACATTCACACACCATACCTCTCTCTCTCTCTCTCTCTCTCTCTCTCTCTCTCTCTCTCTCTCTCTCCCCCTCCCTCCCTCCCTCCCTCCCTCCCTCCCTCCCTCCCTCTCTCTCTCTCTCTCTCTCTCTCTCTCTCTCTCTCTCTCTCTCTCTCTCTCTCTCACACACACACACACACACACACACACACCCGTGACTGTGGAGCCATGGCATACATGTGGAAGTCAGAGGACAACGTTAAGTGTTGATCCTAACCTTCCACCACCTTGTTTGAGACAGTGTCTCTCTTTTTCACTGCTGCATGTGCCAGGCCAGCTGACCTGCAAGTTTCCAGAATTCTCCTGTCTTTGTCTCCCGTCTTGCCCCAGGAGTGCTGGGATTGCAGGTGTGTGCCACCATGCCCAGCTTTAATGTGGTATCTGAGGATCTAAATTCAGGTCCTGATGCTTGCATGGCAAATGCTTGAGCTACTGAGGCATCTCCCCCAAGGATTCCAATTTCTGCCATCCTCCCCTTCACAGGGAATTTCTGGCCCTCAGCAATGGTCTTTCTATGCATGTGAGGTACTGTCTTACAGATTTGATTTTCATATCTCCTAAGGATTATGGATGTTAAACATCTTCTCATAATTTATTGGGTCTTTGTGTATTTTCACTGGTGAATATGTATTAAAATCTCTTGTGCCAGGCGGTGGTGGCACATGCCTTTTATCCCAGCACTCAGGAGGCAGAGGCAGGTGGATCTCTGGAGTTCGAGGCCAGCCTGGGCTACAGAGTGAGTTCCAGGACAGGCTCCAAAGCTATACAGAGAAACCCTGTCTCGAAAAAAAAAAAATCTCCTGCTCATTTTTTTTATTGCTTGTTTGGGTTTTTAATTGCTGTTTTCCAAGAACCAGTTAATGGTTTCATTGACTTCTCTCTATTGCTTTTCCGTTTTCTACTATTCACATCCCATAAAACTGTACACCCAGGAATCCCATAAAAACACTGAACTGGAAGACATAATATATATAATAATATATATACAGAAGACCGGGTGCATACCCATGCAGGCCCT